ACCGCTGACGTGTTTGAATTTGAGTTACTGTGTGTTGGACCTTCCTAAGGTCGGACACGGAAGGGAAACGGCAATGTTGTCGTTATTTTTTTAAATGTTCATTTCTCATGCAAGAGATCCTCAAACTCTTGACGTTTACCTCAGGACAAACAAGTAGGGCATTTGTTCTGTTTAAAAATCTTCCCAAGTAATTATTTCTCTCGCCTCATTTTATTATATTCTATTATATATTTTATTTCTGTGCTGAAGCTCAGGAGCAAATGAGTGAGTAGAAGAGAGGGAAGGAAACCAGGGAGCTGTGATGTGACCTCCCAGATCCTGGATGCCGGGGCACTATTGAATAGGATGAAAGTCTTAAGATGATTTTCCGATTGTAGATGGAGAGGGACTTTTCAAAGCCACTGGTGAATTGTTTGAAGAAATAGACCTTGCTTTCATCCACAAATCTGCTTTTGGTATTTTGGCTTTTATGTTGTTCTGTTTTACATAGAGGGAATAGTGGCTTCATTCTGAGAAGATGCATGGAAAGGTGTTTACTGATGGTTTGTGAAGCCGTGTCCGTAAAACTTCAGATACTGTAAATGTTTGTCTGAAACATTTCAGTATTCTTAATTTATTCTTAATGCTCTATTCTTGATTATCAAATTCTTAAATAAATTCTTAGTAAAGGTGATATCTGCTTTATCGCTTAGTATTTTGTATAGAGTATGACATAAAAGTGTGACATTTTAAAGCCTCACTGTAGAATTTTTAGAAAATATATTTATTGCTTTTTATGGCTTACAAGGAGTGTGTGTTTCTCTGTTTCAGGGCATAATCCAGAAGATTGTGGACAGTCACAAAGTGAAAAACGTGGCCTGCTACGGGTTACGGCTCAGTCACCTGCAGTCTGAGGAGGTTCACTGGCTACACCTGGACATGGGGGTGTCCAACGTGAGAGAGAAATTTGAATTGGCCCACCCTCCGGAAGAATGGAAGTAAGAGCATAAATCTGTTCAGGGTCAAAATCGGTCATAGAAGTCTTTTTAGTTTGTCATTAAAAATGAAAACACGGATATGTAACCTGGAATTTAGAGGATGCATAAAGTAGGAGCACAAATCTTGTTATTTGCTCTAAAAATCTGCAAAACTTCTGATTTATCTAGGGAACCATCTTGGATTTTGTCATTCTTAGGGTTACAGGATAGGAATCCTATTTCTATTTGTCATATAAGTACACCCCTGAAAACTTCCAAGGATAAATCTTGTTACTTAGATGAAAACAAGAAAATATTGGTAAGTAGTGGTTGTGTTTAGATATAGACTGAGTAGGAGAAATGTGATT